GCCGAGACATCTGGCTTGCTGATAAGTAAGTTTCATGGCCGAGACATCTCCAACTCACTGATAAATAAGTTTTATGGTTGAGACATCTGGCTTAGTGATAAGTAAGCTCCCCGCTCTCCCTGTAGCATTTTGTAATAGTTTAAACTAACCAATAACCGCGTTTCTGCTTCTGTATCCTGCTTCTGCCCTATAAAAGTGCCAAACCCCAGCCTGTAGGCGCGCAAGTCCCCCGAGGAGACTTTGTGCCCACAGGTACCTGTGTACTAAATAAACCTCTTGCTGTTGCAACCTGAAGGCTGACTTGTCCTCTGTGGTTTCACTCTTACAGTACCTTTTTCCATCTGTTTCTAGAGATCTGTAAGAATAAACACCTCCCTCCATGATGTCTTTCCTGTGTCTTTATATCTTTCCATACCTGATTAAAATAGACACCAAAGATCTTTAAAGCAAGAACAATACTTTTGACCTGTCATCTCAGCATCCAGGAGGCTGAGGCAGAAAGATTAGAAGTTCAAGGCCAGGCCAGGATACATAGTTGAGACCATGATTCAAAGAAAAGTTTTTTAAATTTTATTTATTTATTTATTTATTATGTGTATGGGTGTTCTGCCTGCATATATGTAAGTGCACCACATGGGTCTGGAGAGATGGCTCAGTGGTTAAGAACACTGACTGTTCTTGCAGAAGACCCAGGTTCAAATCCCAGCACCCACATGGCAGCTAACAACTGTCCATAACTCCCCAGGGGATCCAACAGCCTCTTCTGTCCTCCATGGCCATTGCACGACATGGGTGCACTTACCTACATGCAGGCATAACACTCATACACATAAAATAAAAATTAAATAAATAAATAAATAAATAAAGTGTACCATGTGTGTACAATGCCTATGGAGGCCAGACCAGGGCATCAGATCCCCTGGATCTGGAGTTACAGATTGTGTGAGCCACCACACGAGTGCTGGGAACTGAACCCATATTCTCTGCAAGAGCAGCCAGTGCTCTTAACCACTGAGTCATCTCTCCAGTCTCAAAAAAAATTTTTTACAAAAGGAAAGAACAGAACTTTTGAAAAATAAAAATATATTCAATTTATTCTAATTGTTGTGGTGAATTATGGTAAAATTCAAACAAAACAGCTTTTCTTCAATATCACCCACGATGGCTTCTGCAACGCATGTGTATTGACCCTAAAGTGAGGAATAAGAAATGCAAACAATGCAAAATGTTAGATGCTACTACATCAAAGGCCTTCAGGTCAACGTTTTCTTAACAATAGAATACTATTTAAATTGAATCGGTACCAGTCATGATGGTACATGCCTTTAATCCCAGTGCTCTGAAGGGAGAAGAGCTTGAGGCCTACCTGGTCTACATAGCAAGTTCTAGGCCAATCAGGGCTACATAGTGAGTCCCTGCCTTAAAATAAAATATAGCTAAAAAATTCGAATTGGTTATTTTCTTGTGGTGAGGGGACTCAAACCCAGAGAGGACCTCATGTTTACCAGGCAAGCACTCTAGCACTGAGTTACATCCCAAACCCAATTATCACCATCTTACTTTTCTAATAAGATGAAATTCTTCAAGCCTTGTTTAAACTTATTTTTAGTGTGTATGTATGTGTGTATATGTTATGTGTGACCATGTGCATGCCACAGTACAAAGGTGGAGGTCAGGGGATAACCTGAGGGACTCAGTTTTCTCCTCTACCATATGGGTCCTGGGGATTGAACTCAGGTCATCAACCTTGGTGGCAGGCACCTTTACCCACTGAGCCATCGTGCCAGTTCCTTCATGCTTTTTAATCCACTGACCAGAATCCATTTGACTCCCAATTATAAAATGAGGATTTTTAGAATTTCTTAAAAGATAGCCTGCAAAGGGGGTGAGGGATAACTCAGAGGGTAAGAGCACTTGCCGTGCAAACATGAGGACGGACCTAGGTTCAAATCTTTAGAGCCTAAGTAAAAATCTGCCACCCCAGCACTAGAGGAGTAGAGACAAGAGGATCACTGGGATTTGCTGGCCACCAGCCTAGCTCCAGTTTTAGCAAAAGACACTGTCTCAAGGAAATAAGGCAGAGAGTAATAGAGCAGGACACCCATGTCCTCCTCTGTGCAAGTATCTCCCCACATTGCATACCTCTCTCTTTCTCTCTCTCTCTCTCTCTGGCTTCCTTGGGCACATAAACACACACACACACACACACACACATACACACACACACAAATAAATAAAAAAATAATTTTTAAAATAGCTTACAGAGGCTAGTGAGATGTCTCAGTGGGTAAAGATTCCTGCCATCAAGTCTGAAGATCAGAGTTTGATTCCCAGGACCATGTGGTAAAAGGAGAGAACTCCCACAAGTTTCCCTTTGACCCCCACAAGCATGTTATGGTATATATGTGCACACACATAAACATGCACACCCAAAATAAATAAATAAAATATAATAAAAGTAACATAAAGTTTTCAAAAATTATGTATCATCACAAAATAACTAAAAATATGTATTTCTAAAGTTTATTTTGAAAGTCACCCATACCCAGGTGTGGTGGCACACACCTTTAAAAAGCAGAGGCAGGAAGATCTATGAGGTCAAGCCCAGCCTGGTCTACATAGCAAAGTAAGTTCCAGACCTACTGGGACTACAGGGAGACCCTGTCTCAAAAAAAAAAAAAAAAACCAAAAGTCACCCATGCCAGGTATAGGCCTATAAATCCCAGCATTTCGGAGGTAGAGGCTAGAGCATCAAGAGTTCAAGGCCAATCTCAGCTACACAGTGAGTTCAAGACCAGTCTGAGCTACATGAGACCCTGCCTAAAAATAAAGATGGGAAAAAAAAACAAAACAGGGCTGGTGAGAAGGCCCATCAGATAGACACTTGCCGTGTAAATACACACCCACCCATAAACCATATACATGATTAAATAAATAAATGTAATTTTAAATTTTTTTTAAACTCACCCAAATTGAAAAACAAAAACACCACTAAGCATGGTGGGCACAAGCCTTAATACTGGCTGTCAGGAGGCCTCAGCAGGAGGATTGCCATGAGTTCAAGGTCAGCCTCAAAGAAAAAAAAAAAAAAAAAAAAAAAAAAAAAAAAAAAAAAACACTGGTACTCATTGAGGCAGTAGTTATTTTTACAAAAGACTAGATGTCTAAGCTAAGTGCTAAGTACCCAAGAAAAATCTTAAACAAAAATAAGCCTATAATTTATGTGGGTTTTTTTTTTTTTTGGTCTATTTGAGACAGGGTCTCCCTGTATCCCCAGCTGGTCTGAAACTATGTAGACCAGGCTGGCCTTGAACTCACAGAGATCCACCTGCCTCTGCCTCCCGAGTGCTGGAATTAAAGGCATCCACCACCACACTTGGCAATTTATTTATTTTTTATTATAAACAATGCATACAATGTATTATATCAAGTGAATAGTCATAAGGTTATTGATTTACCCACTATATCTGGCCAGTGTGTTCATTTAGAGACCATGAGCAGAGTAGAGATGAGCAAATGCTCACTACTTTAGATGTGTATGTTAGAAGAAAACAATGAAATGAAAAACAAAAAGCAAATAACTGTCTTACATGCAATTTTTCTGTGATCTACAGTAGGAAAAAAAAGCCAAAACACTTAAAATCAAAACTCTTGTAATCTAAATTTAAATAGCTATTCTTGCTTTGGCCATACCACCTGAATATGCCTGATCTCACATGAATAACTATTCTTTTTTTTTTAATTAAAAAAAAATTTTGTTATTTCAAACCTGGCGTGGTGGCGCAGAGGCAGAGGCAGGCGGATCTCTGTGAGTTCGAGGCCATCCTGGTCTACATAGTGAGTTCCAGGTCAGCTGGGGCCACAGGGAGACCCTGTCTCAAAAAAAACAAAAAAAAATAAATTTTGTTATTTTTATTTATGTATATGCATGTGTGCATGTTTGTCTATATGTGCATCCCATGCATAAAGTACCTGTAGTGGCCAGAAAAGGGTGCTGGATCCCCTGAAACTGGAGTTACAAGGCTTGTGAACCATCCAATGTGGGTGCTGGGAACTGAATTCGGGTCCTCTGCAGGAGCAGCAAGTGCTCTTAACTAGTAAGCCATCTCTAGCCCCCTTCTTTGTTTTTGGTGTTTATTTGTTTATTCATTTGTTTGTTTGTTGTATGAGGCTGGCCTCAAACTCACAGAGATCCACCTGTCTCTGCCTCCTGAGTGCTAGTATTATAAGCATGCCCCACCATGCCCAGCTGAATAGCTATTCTGTTGTTGTTGTTGTTGTTGTTGTTGTTGTTTATGTGTATGTGTATTCGTGTGTGTGTGTGTCTGTGTGTGGGTTTGTACATGTACATGAAGGTTGCTGAGCAGGCCAGAAGAGGGCATCAGATCTCCTGGTGCTAGAGTTACAGGCATTTGCGAACTGCCATGTGGGTGCTGGAAAGTGAACCCAGATCCTCTGTAAGAACAGCAAGTGCTCTTAACCACTGAGCCATCTCTCCAGCCCCCTGAACTTTTCTTAAAAATTGCAGATTGCAGCCAGGCGTGGTGGTGCACACCTTTAGTCCCAGCACTCAGAGGCAGAAGAGATGGGTCTCTGTGAGTTCAAGGCCAGCCTGGTCTATATAGTGAGTTTTAGGACAGCTGGGGCTACAGGGAGACCCTGTCTCAAGAAGACTAAATATATATTGCACATTGCTTACTTCACATTCTTAACATATTGCTGCAAAATGTTAAGAGCATACAAAATAGGGGCTGGAGAGATGGCTCAGCAGTTAAGAGTACTCCCTGCTCTACAGAGGAACAAGGTTCAGTTCCCAGAACCTACATAGTCACTAACAACCGTCCATAACTCCAGTTCCACAGAATCTGACAGCCTCTTCTGGCCTCCATAGGCATTGCGCACATGGGTACACTTATATACAAGCAAGCAAAACACTCATACACATAAAACAAATACAAAATATTTAAAAAAGAAAGTACAAAATAATTGTTGAACAATACCTTAGAAAATAGTATTCCTCTGAAGGAAAATGGCACTGTTGTATTCACAGTCTCTGCAAACAATATACAAAATACAAAACATTATTAATCATCCTTAGGTAATGTTTTTAATAGGAAGTGTACTTTTATAGAGTGCACTTACTACTGCCAGAAGCAGTTCTAAGCAAAGCTGTAGAGAACTAATGAATCTTATATTCTAGCTACTATCTTCCTATAGTGTTCTCAGCCCCCATCCCAAATACACACATACACACAACACACACACACACACACACACACACACACACACACCATACCAGAGTGTCTCCAGGCCCACTGTTCTCAATAATGAATGAATAAAAATATGCATCAAACTATATTACATATCTGCATCCTTGACCTTCAGAGATATTGCTTCACCTTTAGCTAGAGGTAACAGATAATAGTCTCCCTAAAGGCAGGAAAGATATTTCTTTTTGCTTTGCTTTGTTTCTGGTTTTGGCAATACTGAGGATTGAACCTGAGGCATCATGCATGCCTGGCAAGCACTCTACCAACTGAGCTATTTCTCCCAAGAGATGATTCAAACATAGCCAACAGCCAATCCAATCACACTACCAAGAAGCCTAATAATTCATCCTCTGTTTAAATAAGCAGGCACTATACTGGCCCTGCACAAGGCACAGGGCACAGAGGCAGATAAACAGAAAAAGCCAGACAACCAATTATTGAACTTGAAGTAGGGTAAGGATAGAAAGGTAGAAATTGTGGTCTTTTATTTCTAACATTTACTTTATTTATTTATTCATTGTGTGTGTGTGTGTGTGCGCGTGTGTGCGCGCGCACGTGCATGTGTGTGTATTTGGGTGCATGTGCCATGGTGCATGAGTAAAAGTCAGAGAACAACTTGTGAGTCAGTTCTCTCTTCCACCGTGTGGCTCCCAGAGATCAAACCCAGGTTGTCAGGCTCTGTAACAAGTACCTTTACCAGCTGAACAATGTCATGGACACAATTTGTTTTGTTGTGTTGTATTGTTTTGTTTTGTTTTGTTTTGAGACGGGGTCTGGCCACATAGCTGGCCTTAAACTCTCAATCATCCTGTCTCAGTCACCTGAAGGAGGGGATTACAGGCATGAACCACCATGACTAGTCTGAGATGTTTCTTGAGCTTGGTAAATTTTTATTTTTTTATATTTTATTTTATGTGTATAAGTGTATTGCCTGCCATGTATGTAAGTACACACCTATGTCATGCAATACCCACAGAGGTTAGAAAAGGGCATCAGGTCCCTGGAACTGGAGTTACTGATGGTTGTTAGTCATCATGTGGGTGCTGGGAATCGAACCTGGGTCTTCAGCAAAAACAGCCAGTGCTTTTAACTGCTGAACCAACTCTCCAAATCCCAATTTTTATATAGAAAAATAAATATAATGAATTTTGTCTTTATAATTTTAGATATTTAATGAAAGGCCGATGTGAAGGGCTGGAGAGGTGGCACCATGGTTAAGAGCACTGACTGCTCTTGCAGAGGACCCGGAGCTAGTCTATTAGGAACATATACATGGAAAGAAACTATTCCAAATACAGTATGGGATGAGAAGATGCAGGGAGGATAAAGGTGCTATAGGATTTGGGAAGAGTGATGGTACTGGGGCAGAACTGCTTGGGTTTGAATCTTATCTCCTCCACTAGTTTAAAGTGTAACCAAGGACAAGTCACTTCATTTCCCTGGCTCAGTGAACTGGCAGTGGGTAATAATACCTACCTTAGAATATTGTTAAGAGGCTTACATGAGTTAATACATGTTAAGTGCTCAGAGCAACACCTGGGGTTCAGGATTAAATGTACTAACATTAAATGCATGGATATTTGCATGCATGCAAAAAGGGATGGCCATGAAAAGAGACACAAGAGGAAAATGGTCATCTACAAACCAAGAAACACCTTAGGAATCCAGAAGCTTAGAGAAAGCCCTGGAAAAGATCCTCTCCTGCTGCCTTCAGAGGAAGCATGGCCCTGCTGCACTTTGATTGTATACATCTGTCCTCCAGAGCTTTAGACTCTAAATCTCTATTATTGTAAGCCTCCAGTTAGTGGTGTTTAGTTATAGCATCCTTGTACCCAAGATTATGGTAACAGGACCAGAAATTTATTGAATTTAAGATGCCTTGAAATAGACATTTATTTATGTGTAGATGTTTTAAAAGGAACAAGGGGAGAGGGTATATAAAAGTGGTGAAATTATGAGTAATTTTCATTTTATTTTTACTTTTCATATGCTAAAGACGTTTTATAACAAAAAAGAAAGCTATTTTTCTTTTTGGTCTTTTTGCGACAGGGTCTCCCTGTAGCTCCAGCTGCCTGGAACCCACTATGTAGACCAGGCTGGCCTCAAACTTACAGAGGATCCACCTGTCTTTGCCTCCCGCATGCTGAGATTAAAGGTGTGTGCCACCACGCCCAGCAGAAAGCTATTTTTAAAAATAGATATATGGTATTTGCAAATTTGAATCTCAGATTTCAAGGGTCTCTTGATACATCCGTGCTTCTTAAAGCAGAATGTCCTAAGCTCTGGACCCACTCAGCTGCCAGATGGACATGTTTACTTGAATGTTCCAAAATTACCTTAAGCTCAACATGCCCAAACCAGAAATTGTTATCTTTCTCTTTAAAACTCTGCCCCTTCCTTTATATACATCATCTCAAGTACAGGCACTTTAAGATGTGCAATCATCAGCCCTCAAGTGATTCTTTTTTATATAATCCTTGGCTGCCACAACAAATACCTTAGTATGTCCTGCCAATTCTGTCTGCCAATATGCTCTTCTGCCTCCTCCCCTCTGAGTCCAGGACTGCCATCTTTGTTCAGCTTAATGGCCTCTTGTACTATCTCCTGTCTCTTCCCCCTCAGTGCAAGTCACCTGCTCAGCTAACCCCCCACTTCCTCCCATATGGGCATGAGTTAGTTGCAAGAATGGAAATCTCATTCCATGGGATAAAGGCCAATCCCTGCCCCCTCTTCTAGGCTTATCAACAGCAATTCCTCACAAGCACATTCTGCTACTACAAAAGAAAAAGAAAACTCTCCAAATGACCAGGCTTTTGTGGCTAGATGTGCTGCATATAGGATCTCCTCTGCACAAACTGTTCCTCCCTCACTCTCTGATGGTCTCAGATTGAACACGCTACTAAAATACTCTGTAAAGATTTATCTGAGTTTTCCTGTCACACTTATTTGAAAACTACATAGGTAATACTGACAGCTTATGATTCTATTAGTATTTACGGCATTCTTTGTACATTTTGTCTTTGAGAACAGAGAGACTTTTTAAGGAAGGAGACCCAACCATCCAACTTTGGATCCCTAGAACCTCAGTCATGACCTGCTCAGTTTATGTCCAATAGACATTTGTTGGAAAGAGTGAAGAGGGAATAATGAGGCAGGTTAGGTTGATTCCTGCACATCTTAGATTTCAAGGAAATGAACCTGAAAATTCTGACAATATCAATACAATCCCTCCAGAGATTGTGTAAACCATTGTAAAATAGTGTACAAGAGAAGTGGACAGTATGAAAAACAAACAGTAATGGCTGGGTGTGGTGGCACACAACTTTAATCCCAGTACTCAGGAGGCAGAGGCAGGCAGATCTCTGTGAGATCGAAGCCAGCCTAGTCTACATGATGAATTCTAGACCTGCTGAAACCCTGTCTCAAAAAGACAAAAAAAAAAAAAGTAATGGATGGATGGGCTGTAAAGATGGCTTAGTGGTTAAGAGCACTGGTTGCTTGCTCTTGCAGAGGGCTCAGTTCCCTGCCACATGATTGTTAATGACCATCCACTTCCAGGGGGATCAGATACCCTCTTTCCAGGGGGAGGGGGATCTGACATCTGACACATTCTTCTGACCTCCATGGGCATTGCACACATGGGTACATTTCCAAACATGCAGGCAAAACACTCATACATATAAAATTAAACAAATAAAAATAGTCAGTGGGCTAGGGCTGGAGAGATGGCCCAGTGGTTGAATGCATATTGTTCTTATAGAGGACCCAGATTCTGTTTCAAGCACCCACATGGGGCAGTTCGTAATTGTCTGTAACTCCAACTCCAGGGGACCCTCTTCTAGCCTTTTCAGGCACCTGCATTGATACACAAATTCCCAGACTAAACACAAATATACATGTAATTAAAAAAACAAAACCTATTTTTTTTTGGTCGTTTTTTTTTTTTTTTGGTCTTTTTTTTTTCAGTTTTTTGTTTGTTTGTTTTTTAAACAAAACCTTTTTTAAAAGAGTTAGTTAAGGGGGCTGGAGAGATGGTTCAGCAGTTAAGAACACTGGCTGTTCTTGCAGAAGACCCAGGTTCAAATCCCAGCACCGACATGGCAGCTAACAACTGTCCTTAACTCCAGTTCCAGGGGATTTGACAGTCTCTTCTGTCCTCCTCAGGCATTGCATGACATGGGTGCAGTTACCTACATGCAAGCAATACACGAATACACATGAAATAAATTAATTAATAAAATATTTTTAAAAGAATTAATAGTTTTCCAAATAACCACAGACTCATTTCTGAACTGCATACATTGTTTTTCTTAATTGCAAGATGACAGGAACAAGAGAGGATTTCCACTCTGACCATTCTACTAGGGTTTTTTTGTTTGGTTGGTTGGTTGGTTTTTTGTCTTTTGAGACAAGGTCTCCTTATAGCCCCAGCTGGCCTGAACTTGCTGTGTAGACCAGACTGGCCTGGATCTCTTTCTCTACCTCCCCAGTGTTAGGATTAAAGGCATGCACCAACATGCCCAGCTCCTGTACTAGACCTTTTTAGATATATCTCTAATCCTTAACAGCATGCTATATGAGTTTTGCTATCTCCATTTTACCAATGAGGAAAGGGAGGCTGAGATAATAACTCTCCAAGTTCATATTGCTGAAGGCAGAAAAGCTGTGACACAGACCCTGGTCTTTTTTACATTGAGCCCAGACACATATGTAATGCTACTCAACAGTCTGCAAATGGTTTAAAGGTGGCAGACACTTCAAAATGCGTTGGAAAAATTGGCTAGCAAATATAGCCAGAAGCTTCACTTGCATAGCAAGCCTGCTGGTTTTCTTAGAAAGTAAATTTTTAAGTTATTGGCCTCATAGAACAAAATGTGGGCCTTTTTGTTAGGAATTTTTCTCTTGTTTCATTAATTCTTCATCCTTCCAATTTTGTCCCATTTACAGCCTAATTTATGTTGTGTTACTAAGTTTAATGTATGTATAAAAGCTATCTTACATTCTCTTTTAAATAAGACAGGTCACAGGATAGGTTTGGTGGCATGCGCCTTTAATCCCAGCACTTGGGAGGCACAAACAGGTGGATCTCTAAGAGGCCAGCCTGGTCTACATAGTGAGTTCCAGGCCAGCCAAGGCTACATAATGAGACCCTGTCTCAAAAAAGAGATAGGTCACAAGTTAGTGGTGAATAATTAAGGAAAGAGTACTTTTTTATTTTTTAACTTTTGTTTTATCTTATGCATATGAGTATTTGCATGTATGTAAGTGTACATGTGCGTACAGTGCCTGCGGAAGTCAGAAGAGGATGTTGGATCCCCTCAAACTGGAGTTACAGAGGATTGTTAGCTGAAACTGGATCCTCTGCAAGAGCAACCAATGCTCTTAACCACTGAGCCATCTCTCCAAACCCCAAGAGTACTCTTTAAAAGTTAATAAAGTCAGGCATGGTGGTGCATGCCTGTAGTCCCAGCACTCAGGAGGCAGAGGCAGACAGATCTCTGTGAGATAGAGGCCAGCCTGGTCTACATAGTGAGCTCCAGATCAGCTGAGGCTGCAGGGAAACTCTGTCTCAAAAAAGCCAAAAATAAAAGTTAATAAAACAAGTATAAATTTTTACCTAATAAAAAGTTGACTTTAACTTAATTTTTAAAGTTGTAATAAGCCAGGTGTGGTGACACACACCTTTAATCCCAGCACCTGGGAGGCACAGGCAGATGGGTCTCTGAGATTGAGGCCAGCCTGGTCTACAAAGTGAGTTCCAGGCCAACTGGGGCTACAGGAAGACCTTGTCTCTAAACAAACAAACAAATAAATAAATAAAATTATAATAATGAATGCTAACAAGAGAGATTAAACTAAATGTCATAATGCTGAGTGCTGAGTGCTGAGAGGTCAAATCAGTTGTATGATATATAAAATGGTACAATACTTTAGAAAAACAGTTCGGATTATACAATTATAATTGTAAATATGGGGCTGGAGAGATGGCTCAGCAGTTAAGAATACTGACTGTTCTTGCAGAAGTCCCAGGTTCCAATCCCAGCACCCACATGGCAGCTAACAACTGTCTGTAACTCCAGTCCCAGGGGATCTGACAGCTTCTTCTGACCTCTGCGGGCATTGCATGACACGGGTGCACTTACCTACATGCAGACAATACATGCATACACATAAAATAAAAATAATTTTTAAAAATTATAAATAAGTTCAAGCTGTTTGACCCCAGAAATCTCTCTGGAAGTTATCTCTAACTCCTTCTAAGTATAGAAATATTCAAATATAAATAAGAAAAACAATAACTAGAAATAAATACATTATATTATTGTTACAGTTTGAATGTGAAATGTCCCTCATAGATTCATGTGTTTGCATGCTTGCCACACACACACACACACACACACACACACACACACACACACTGGTGGTGCTGTTTGGGGAAGTTGTGGGTTCTTTGGGCAATGGGGACTAGATGGAGGAACTGGCTCTCTCAGGAGGCAGGCCTCCGGTTTTATAGACCTGCAGTACTTCCTGGCTCTGCTTCCTGATTTGCCCAGATGTGAGCTGAGAGACCTGAGTGACTCCATCTTGGATAAAACCTCCATGGGATTGACCCAGCCCTGAATCCTGTTCCAGGTGAAACCACAAAAAAAACACACACACAAAAAGTATACTTGGAACGGATAGAGAACAACTCCCCCGCCAACGGTCAATTAACCAGGGACAGAAAAGTACTAAAAGTCAGATGTCTTTTCGGATTTCCTGAAGCCAGCAGTTTATGGTTTGGCACTGGGCTGCAACCAATCAGATGCTTGCCAGGCTGGAGACCCCCTACTCCCCTACTTGCTGAACTTGCTGAAATACACCTATAAAAACCTGTCTCTCAAAGCAAGGAGTCTCACATCTGAGATCCGCTAGGTCAGTGATAGAGTGAGTCCAAGCTTAAGCTTGTAATAATAAAAAACCCTTGTGTGTTTACATCGGTTGCCTCCTTGGTGATCTTTGGGGTCTTGCAAACTCGGCACAACAGAGCAAGTACTCACTGCCACAGCTATGATATCCTCTTACTGCCATACCTCCTTGGCACGGTGGACTGACCCCCAGACCATGAGCCAAAATAAACTCTCCCTTAAGTTGCTCCTTGTCAGGTATTTGGTCACAGCAATGAAAAAAAAATAGCTAATATAATTATTCATAATAGTGAAAGCAGTAAAAGGAAGCTAAATGTTAAGTGAGTTATATATACTTACATATTATACAGAGAGACAGCTCACACCCACCAAGTGAGATGTCTCTCTGTATAATGTGTTTTGCCCTAGTTTTTTATGACACATGAAGTGGCTATTCAGGGAGTAAAACTAATTTTTAGAAAGAAAGTAAAAACTTCAGCTGAGCATGATGGTGCAGGCCTTTAATCCCAGCACTTGGGAGGCAGAGGCAGGCAGATCTCTGTGAGTTCAAGGCCAGCCTGGTCTACATAGTGAGTCCCAGGCCAGCTGGGAAAAAGAAAGGAAGGAAGGAAGGAAGGAAGGAGAAAGGGAGAGAAAGAAAGAAAGAAAGATGAAAGAAAGAGAGAGAAAGGAAGAGAGAGAGAGAGAGAGAGAGAGAGAAAGGAAGGAAGGAAGGAAGGGAAAAAGAAAGAGAAATTTGAAGTACAGTATACTTACAACTGCATAAGCAATATCCATGCATTAAAAAAACGCAAGAAGAAAATACTCCAAAATGTTTTTAGAACTATGTTCTATCACTATTTTATTGTCTTACTTTCAATGTTTATTAATGTAGCAGTATATTTATAGACTTTTAAAGTATTTTATATACTCACTTAAAATTACTATGGAAAAATGTATGACTTTGGATTAAGTGGCATTTTAAGTTCTACATTTGAAGATTCTGTTGATAATTACCAGGTGGAGAGGGCCAAAGATATAGCTCAATGGTAGAGTATATGCCTCGCATATGTGGGGCCCCAGTTTCATGGTCTAATATAGCTCCCTCTCCCCGCAAAAAGTATACCCAAACATAACAGCACAAAGATTAGGAGTTTGAGGCCAGCCTTGGCTACATAGAGAGTCTAAGGCCATCCTGGGCTACATGAGACTCTGTCTCAAAAAAAAAATCAATAACTATAATACAAACAACAATTCTAGGGTTGAGGGGCTGGAGAGATGGCTCAGCGATTAAGAACACTGGTTGTTCTTGCAGAAGACACAGGTTTGAATTCCAGCACCCACATGGCAGCTAACAACTGTCTGGTAACTCCAGTCCCAGGAAATCTGACAACCTCTTCTGACCTCTGCAGGCATTGCACGACACGTGTGCACTTACCTACATGCAGGCAATACACACATACACATAAAATAAAAATAATAAATTTTTCTAAAAGTTAAAAAAACAATTCTAGGTTGAAATAAAGGGGAGGGGGTAATCTTTAAAGAAACCAATGTAGTTACATAGCAAAATCTGAGATGTCACCACAGAAACAACATGTACAATGTTTAGAAAAAGGTGTTGGTAACCAAGAATAAATGTAAAATGTTCAACTGAACAAGGTCAAAATTTTAATATTCCTTCAAATGCACCCATGTAGTGTCATCTTAGTAACAATGGATGAACATAATTATAAAATGTTTATGGTGCTAAGAGTAAAACTTTGGAGGGACCTGAAGAATTATTACTAGTAAAGGAACTTAGTGTTTTCAGTGTTTCCGTGACATAATGGTTTCATATAGAATTTTTGTCTATTCTTTCAGTACACAGTTTGCTTACCTCCCTTCAGAGCGCTGCAAAAGGAATAATCATCGTCATATCCTCGACAAATGACTTCTTTGCGCTTCGGCAGTACCATGGAGTTGAGATTGATGAAGAGATTGAAATATAATTTTTTTATATCTCTCCCTTAGAAAGAAAAAGTTCCATTAGTCCCTTAAATCAGATGTTCTTTTGTATAGAATATTTATTATGCATGTACTATGCATCTTATGCTTTTTTCTTATATTACCTCATTTGATCATCATAGCTATCTATGAGGCGTTATTACCCTTGTTCCGAAGATAAAGCTGAAGTTCTTTTTTAATATATTTTATTTATTATTTTTATTTTATGTTATGAGTGCATTGCTTGCATGTATGTAAGTGTATCTGTGTCGTGCATGTCCATGGATTTCAAAGGAGGGCATCAGAGCCTCTGGTACTGAAGTTATTAGCCACCATGTGGGTGCTAGGAACTGAAACCAGGTCCTCTGCAAAAGCAGCCAGTACTCTTAACTGCTGGCTATCTCTCCAGCCACAAAACTGAAGTTCTAAGAATGCAACTTTGTAGCAAAATAGAATGTTCCACAGTAACAACTGTAAAATACGCCTAAAAAGTGAGAAATGGTTAGAACTTTATGGAGGAAAACCATCAAACAAAGACATAAATTTTTCAGTTTTAGTCAGTTCTCCCAGAAAATTCAAAGGAAAGGGTCAGGGAAAAATCAATATCACTTTTGGAGTATAAATAAAAGATTTCTTAAGAAATAAAGTTGATGGGCTGGAGAGATGGCACAGAGGTTAAGAACACTGGCTGTTCTTGCACAGGAGCCAGGTTCAATTCCCAGCACCCACATGGCAGCTATCAACTATCTGTAACTCCAATTCCAAGGGATCTGACACCCTCTCTGACCTCCTAGGACATTGCATGACACAAGTGCACTTACACACATCCGGGCAATACACTCATACACATAAAAAATAATAAATAAAAGAAAATTTTAAAAAAGAACAGTAGCTGCTCTTGCAGAGGACCCGGTTCAGTTCCCAGCATCCACATGGAGGCTAACAACCATCCATAACTCCAGTTCCAGGGGATCCAACACTCTCTTCTGTCCTCTGTGAGCATTGTACAACATGGATGCATATACATACATGCAGGCAAAACATGCATACATGTAAAATTAAAATTTACAAAAAAACAGGGGTCCCACTGACTCTCTAAAAGCAGGATTGTGCATATATAGAAGTGAAAGAGCTGTTTTCACCAGGAATTCCTGGAGACACAGGACCAGGACTGTGTGCTACATAACCGCAGGCAATACAATTGTGTGATGACAATGATAAACAAAGGACTTCCTTCTGAGTCTCCATGAAACTCAGCCTGATCCCAGTTTTCAGTGACTCAAGGAAATGAAGTTCCGTTTTGACATCTCAATGGATTATATCTTGAGAAGACTTTGGCCTTGGACATCATTGTGATCATGTTATGAACCATGGTCACAATGAGGACCACTTTTGAGGCTTAGCTGGTCAGGAATGGCAATGTGGGCGTGAGAGTGAGAGATGAGGAACATGATGGCCATCATGAGGAAACAAAAAGATTTGATTCATGAAATTTGATTCATGCTTGTAATTATAGCTTTTACTAAATTTAAATAGAAATAAAACCATAAAATAAGTCTGGTTTTATGAATGTGCCTCACACTTTATACAACGATTATAGTACATTCTAGGGAAACTCAGATCATAATTGCAAAGTGCTATAAAAATAACTAAATAATTCTTTTGTTCCTGAATTCTATAATTTGTTATATGCTATTTAGAAAATGACTGAAGTATTTGTGGTGGCAATGGAGGGATGCCACTCAAAATTCCTCGCCAAAAATACTGTTTTAAGAAGAGTGGTAGACACCCATGGCAGTATCCTTCTATCATCATCACTTGAATTATGCTGAGAAGTGATAAGCCATAATAAAGAAGAAAAACAAGATAGAACACAGAGCAAAACCCAGTGGCTTCTTTCATCATCACTACATTTTTTCTCTAGAAAGATCCCCCTTCTCCTATCCTGAGTATTGGACCCAAGGTGTCACACCAGCAAGGCAAGCATCTACTACTGAGCTACATCCCCAAACAGGTCATGTTTAAGAATAAAGAGTCTGAACCAGGCGTCGTGGCACACATCTTTAATCCCAGCACTTGGGAAGCAGAGGCAGGTGGATCTCTGTGAGTTTGAGACCAGTCTGGTCTACATAGTGAGTTCCAGGCCAACTGAGGGTATAGGGAGACCCTGTCTCAAAAATAATAAAATAAAATATAGACTCTGGACTAGGCATGGTGATACATTATGCCTTTAATCTGAGCACTCAGGAGGCAAAGACAGGCGGATCTCAGTGAGTTTGAGGCCAACCTGGTCTATGTAGAGTTCCAGGTTAGCTAGTTCTCCATAGTGAAACTCTGTCTCAAAAAGAAATAATAATAAAAATAAAAAATAATAAAAAGTTCTGACTTGCTGACACACAGGTCTTACACTAGCAGAAGCACAACATTCCTCACCAGATGAATAGCTAATGACAAAGGCTATACATTATTAGAAGTCTGAAGTTATTCCCATGATCTTGGGAAATCCATACAACTGTGAGTTGGTCTAGAATATAGCAAAGGTGACAAATTATCACTTTCTTGATTAGACCACATAAGATTATGACTTCAGTCTTGTAACCCTTTGCCAGTTCTGATGAAGCAAGCAGCTATGTTAAAAAGACCCACGTGCCAAGCGACCAAGGAATAGTCAGTAGCCAGAATCCAGAAACAGAATACTGCCAACAGCCATATAAGCTTAGAAAAAGATCCTAGCCAGGCTGGAGAGATGGCTCAGCAGTGAAGAGCTAAGCTGGCTGTTCTTATAGAAGACTTGGGTTCATATCCCAGCACCCACATGGCAGCTAACAATCATCCATAACTCCAGTTCCAGGGGCTCCGATGACCTCTTCTGTCCTCCATGGGTGCTGCATGACATGGGTGCACTTACACACATGCAGGCAATACACTCATACACATAATTTTTTTTAAAAAAAGAGAATAAGCCGGACAAGGTTGCACATGGCTTTAATCCCAGCACTCAGGAGGCAGAGGCAGGTAGATCTCTGTGAATTCAAGGCCAGCCTGGTCTATATAATGAGTTCCAGGCCAGCTAGGACTACAAGGATACCCTGTCTCAAAAAAAGAACAAAAGACCAAAAAAAAAGAGAGAGAAGCAAAGTTTGGGGACTGAAGAGATGACTCAGCAGTTAAGAGCACTGACTGCTCTTATGGAGGACCAGGGTTCCATTCCCAGCACCCACATGGTGGCTAACAACCATCCGTAACTCCAGCTCCAGGGGATTCAATGCCTTCTTCTTACCTCCGTGGGCATTGCACGACACAGGCGCACTTACATACATGCAAGCAGTACACTCATACACATGAAAAATAAAGGCCAGGCATGGTGGTGCACATCTTTAGTTCCAGCACTTGGGAGGCAGAGGCAGGCAGATCTCAAGGTGAGATCAAGGTCAGCCTGGTCTACATAGTGAGTTCCAGGCCAGATGGGGCTACAGGGGACCCTGTCTCAAAAAGACCAAAATAAATAAAATAAATAAAGCAAAAAGAAAAATATCCTTCCCTAGTTTAACCTTCAGAAGAGACCCAAGTCCTGGTCAACATCTTGACTGTAGCTTTAAGGGAGACCCTGAAGTTGACACAAGTAAGCTATGCCCAGACTACCATCAACAGGGCAATAAATGTGTGCTGTGTTAAGCCACTAAGATTAAGAGCATGGTAATTTACTATATGGCAATAGATAATAAACACAGCTATATTCAGAGTACAATGATTTTTCATTGATATTTTTTAATTTTTCAATTTTTATTTTATGTGTGGAAATGTTTTCCCTGCATGTATGCAAGTGTACCCCTGTCATGCAATGCTCACGGAGAGACCAGAAGAGGGCATTGGCTCCCTTGGAACTGGAGTTACAGATGGTTGTTAGCCACCATGTGGGTGCTGGAACCCAAACCTGGGTCCTCTGCAAGGGTAGCCAGTGCTCTTAACCACTAAGCGATCTCTCCAGCCAGCCCCCAGTATTTCTTTTTTGAGGTTTATTTTATTTTTGTGTACACAGGGTATGTAAATGTGTGCATGCAGGTATCTGTGGAATCCAGAAGAGGGTACTGCCTCCCCTGGAACTGAAGTTACAAGCAATTGTGGGCCACTGACATAGGTGCTCGGCACTGAACTCAGGTCCTCCACAAGAACTGTAAGTGGTCTTAACCACTGAACCATCTCTCCAGCCCCATTCTTAATATTTCTTGAACCCTTTAACTGATTACAAAAGCAAACGCTTGTACTTACTTGGAATGAATACAATATGCAAAATTCCATTGGTTCCCTTCAGTGTTATACAGGGTTCAGCACTAATTGAAATAGGGAATTTTATGTTATCTAAAAGGAATAAAGAAAATGCCAATAAGTTATCATAAATAACCTCCAATAATACAACACTCTGAATACCAGCTCCCTTTTTTATATTAAAAAGCATATAATAAGAACAACTGAGGGTGGGTAGAAATATCTAAGTCAGGTGTGGTAGTGCACACCTTTCATCCCAGCACTCAGGAGAAAGAGGCAGACCTCTTGAAATCAAGGCCAGCCTGCTCTACATAGTGAGTTCCAGGCCAGCAGTGGCTACAGGAAGACCCTGTCTCAAAAAGACCAAACAACAACAACAACAAAAATCTCTCTCCAAAAGAGAGTTACCCACACAAGCACAGTTCATAAATGCCTTCTGTAAAAAATTAAGAACCAAATAAAAGACTACAGAAGAATATAAACTATACTCACCAAAATCGTTAGAAAGATTCCTCTCTCTGAAGTCCTTTGCCGTAGCACAACATCAAACAGAGACTCCCCAACTCCCACTTTCACCCAGGAGAGAGGAGAAATTCGTATGCATGTCCAGTACCCTAAGTCTTCCAAGGCAGCTCCCCAAAAGACTGGATTCTAGTTTGCATGTCTTGGAGTGCTGATAAGCTTGGTCTGGCACTGTCTAGGCACACAGAAAAGACTGAAGGTCTGGAGATAGATGTTACTGATCCTCCCCTCTGCTCACTGGCATAAGCAGATGAAAAATTCCAGCTCTCAGCTTTTCCATAGGAAGATAAAGAGTTGATATATTCCTCTAGGATATCAAAATCTCCAGGAATCAAAAAGTAATTAGTACCTGTCTCACTAATCCTGGAGTAATGATGAATGTGGCACAGTCTATCTGGGGTGGAAGATATTTGCTGGAACTGCAAGATGTCTGTTCAATAAATTCAAGTTGAGCTGGAGATGTAGCTCAATGTTAATTAAAATGCCTGCCTACCATTCACAAGGTTCTAGGTCCAAGCCCCGGTACCATTAAATAAATTCTCTTAAAAACATTTTATTTAGACAACCCCCCAGCCTCTTTCCTGGATACCAGGGCTGACCTCCTGGCCTGGATCCACCACTGCTTTCCTGATCCCTTGCATCCAGACGAACCCAGTTCCTTCTTTCAGTCCCCAGGAGCCCTCTGGGCCGGGTCCCATGCTCACCTCCCTCTGCTTCCCTGGGCCTGCACAACCCTTCAGCCTCTCTCCCAGGTAAGTTCATCAGGTCCTCCAACTTGACTCACCCTCATTCATCCCCCATCTCCCCCACCCATCTCTCCTCCTAGCTTGGGCACTGTCCCATTCCTTGTCTTGGCACACCAGACACCAGGGAACTACCACTGCTTCCTGATCCTTTGCATCCAGACCAACCCAGTTCCTTTTCGAGGTCCCCAGGAACCCTCTGGACATGCCTCTGCCCCCACCCCTCCCCAGCTCTGCCCCCCCTGAGGTGCACAACCCACCAGCTTCTTTCCTGGACACCAGGGCTGACCTCTCCACTTCCTGATCTTTTGCATTCAGACCAAGCCAGTTCCTTGCTGCAGTCCCCAGGAGCCCTTGGGGCCTCATCCTGCCCCCTCTCCCTTTTCCACCAGCACAGCCACGACCTTCCCTAGACCAGCATCTTTCCTGGGTCGTTTTCCCAGGCCAGTCCAACCCGCAAATCCCTAAGGACAACATCTTTCATAGAGGGATCCAAACCTTAGGAAAAAGACTGAGAGCTTCTTACTTGGGCCTCTGTGGGAAATCCTGAAGACAAAAGCAATCTTGCCACTCCAATATAAAATCAAAAGAGAGAACAGGAAGCTTAGCCAAACCAGCTTTTCATACCCAAAAAGTAAACCACCAAGGCACATAAAGTTTACAAAAAGAAGCAGACCTAAACTTGAAGACTTGAGTCTCACACAAGAATCATAAACTACAAGAGAAATTCACATTTTTAGGAAAAAATAGTAACATGAAAAACCAAAATAACATAGCCCTACCAAATACCAATAGTCCTCTAGGGGAGTACAATGAGAACCCCCTAGAGATAATGCAGGACATGGAACTCAAAAGAACAATTATAAACATGATAAAAGAATTCAGTGAATTTAAAGAACACAAACACAAATCAAAGAACTGAAGGAAGATAGGGATAAACTTCTGAAAGAAATCAGAAAACAGCTAGAAATGTTGAAGAATACTCAGGCTGAAATGAAGTAGGAAGTAAAACACTCAGTAAGCCAATTAGAAACGAGAGGAGAAAGTCTCACCAATAGGATGAATGAAATAGAAAACCATATCAAGACTGGAAGATAAAGTGGATGAACTAGACCACTCAAGAAAAGAGTATGAAAAATTTAAGAAAGCACAAGAATGGAATATGTAGAAATTGTGTGACACCATAAAAAGACCAAATTTACGAATCATAGGCATACAGGAAGGAAAAGAATTACAAGATAATGGCATGGACCAGATCCTCAACAGAATCATAGAAGAAAATTTCCCCAAATTAAAGAAAGACATGCCCATACAAATACAAGAAGCATATAGAACCCCAAACAGACAGGACCAGAAAAGAAACACTCCATGGCACATCATAGTAAAAACACTAAGCATACAGAACAAAGAGACAATACTGAAAGCTGCAAAAAAGAAACAACAAGTCACATATAAAGGAAAACGCATTAGGAATACAGCTGTCTTTTCAGTGCAAACTATGAAAGCCAGAAGAGCCTGGACCAAAGTATTCCCAGTTTTAAATGACCACAGATGCCAACCCAGATTACTATACACAGCCAAAATGTCTATTATAGTCAAAGGCGAAAGAAAAAGCTTCAATGACATAAATAGGCTGAAGGAATTCATATCCACAAAACCAGCCCTTCAGAGAGTTCTGGAAGCAATATGAAGAGCTGAAGAAAGGAATGACTATACCCAAGGGGTTTCGGAAAGAAATTCAATGAAGGTATAACTGTGGTAAAGTACAGTTGTACCAAGAATGTGAACAGAAATAAAAATGACAGGATTCAATACACATCTTTCATTAATAACTTTAAATATTAATGGATTGAAATCCCCAGTCAAAAGACACAGACTAGGTGAATGGATTAAGAAACAAAACCCATCTTCTTGTTGTCTACAAGAAACTCATCTCACTTTCAAGGACAGGCAATATCGTAAGGTGAAAGGATTTTAAAAAATATACCAAGCAAATGGTACTAAGAAAAAAGCAGGCATTGCAATTCTAATATCTGATAAAATAGACTTTAAACTAAAATTCATCAGAAGAGATAAAGAGGGCCACATCATTATGATCAAAGGAACAATAAACCAAGAAGATATTACAAACATGAATGAACATATATTCACCAAACTCCAGATTAATCCCAACTCATTAATAATAGGGGACTTTAATACCCCACTGTCTCCAGT